CCCTTTGCTGAAGTCCTGCTGCGGCTGCTTATACGAGAATCAAAGTCTGCGTTGCCAGAGATATTAATTTCAATTTGCAGCAGCAGAAGCCAAATTCCAATTCCAAAATCCCTACGATTTTCCCAACCCAACGCCGGAGGGGGAGGAGGGGGGGGGGCAGCAGGGGCGGGATCGGGGCGATGCGATGACGTTGGCAAAAAACAAAGCAAATGATGAGGCTGTAAGAAGCAGCAGCAGCAGCAGCATCAACAGCAGAGGCAGAGGCAGCAGCAACAACAGCAACAAAAAGGCCATAAAAACATGTGTAACTAGACGGCTTACAAGGATCACGCACTCGGTGACACTTAATGCGCACAGGCCCCCGCAGACGCCGCCTCCTCCCGCCGCCTCCGCCACGGAGGACGTCAACGATACGCGCAGCAGCAAAGCAAATGTCACACACATACACACATTAAGAGCGCGAGAGAGAGAGAGAGAGAGTGAGTGGGAGAGGGGCTGGTGAGAGTGGGAGAGACAGACAAACGCAATTAGCTTTTAGCCATCATAACATTATGAACGGCAGCACTGACAGACGACTGCGGCCGCGACGCCGACTGTGACGACGACGCCGACTGCGACTGCGACTGCTAACTGCTAATGATGAAGCGAAGCACGAACAGAAGGTTGTGGGGTGGGGTCTGGCATAGAGCCGTAAATGTTAGATGAATGAAGTGAATGTCAACTGAAGCCTCAAGTCCCCTCCCCCACGCCTCTCCCCCCTAGGCTGGATTTGTGGCAGCACTGTGGCTGGGGCGGGCTGCGGGAGCCAGGGGCCAGGGCCGCATTATATGTTGATGTGCAGAAAGCAGAGCTCACGGCGCTGCCAACAATGCCGTTAACTTGTGTTGAGATTAAAATAAGGACACACACTCTCGACGTGGCAGGGCGCAAAGGGCAGACCGCCGCCGATGGGCGTGCTGCAAGGACATGCCCTACGTGCCACACGCGGCGTCGAGCTGTTCGAGTTGCAAGCTCTCGACTCGCATGAGTTGCAAGCTTGCCTGGCTTGCTTTGTTTATCATGTCAATTGGAGCTTGAGCAGCACCGAGGGGGTGGGGGAATGATGGCAGCACGCTCTCACCAACTCACTGTGAATAGTGCGGGGCGTGTCGGGGCGGGGGTGTGTATGTTTGGGGGGTGGTGGAGGTGCGGTTTAGCTGGGCAGCCTGGGCTGGCCAAAAAATGACTGCGTAAATGATGATATGAGATTTTTGGGGGCGGGCGGCAATTTTTGCGGTGTCATTTGGCTGCGCCGGAAACGGATATATGCGCAGGACTAGAGCAAAAGCTGCTGCTGGTCGTGATGGAAGCGGAGAGGTTAGGGAAGGGCAGGTTAAGAGATGGAGGGCGGGATTGCTGCAACTGTCAAAAGGCGGAAGCGGAAGGAAGTTATTTAACACATAACCACATGCACGCACGCACACACACACACACACCCGCTCCCACACACACACACACACAAACAGCGCGCACACGCTTCGTGGCAAGGGCAGAGCCTGTCTTAGGGCACGGCTGCCAGAGGCTAGTGGCAAGCGGGGTGCCGGGGCGTGGCGTAATGCTTGTAGTCAGGGCTGCAAGTGGAGATTATGTGGCACGATAATCATATTACGATTATGTCGCGTAAAATTTGCGCCACTCGCAGCGGCAGTTTAACTGAAGTAACTCCAAGCAAAGTTCAACAAACAGACAGACAGACAGACGAGCGTGGAGGGGTGGGGGTGAGCCTGAGGAGGGGTCGGGGGCTAAGAGGGACAGACAGTAAAACATCAAATAATATACTCCGCGGAGCAAGGGTTATACGTGCCGTAGCAGCAGCAGCAGCAGCAGGCAGAGGGCACAACGTTGACTTTTGCCCAGCTAAACAAATTCATTAAAATGATATTTTTACATTTTCACGTTGGGTAGCTCGACGTTTGGCTTGGTGGGTTTGCGTGGGCAGCGAGGGGGGGGGGGGATGTGTACTGGAAATGGCTTCATAATAATGCTCGTTTATTTATTAGCGAGCTCTTGTGGCAGCGCATGAAAACCAAATGCGAAGCGAGCGCCGGTATGCCAAAGTTTGGGTATGCCCAGCTATAACAACAGCTACAGCTAGAGCTTAGTTAGGGTATGCCAGGCTAAGATATGATATAAGAGCATATATAGCTACAGCTATGTTAAGGTATGCCCCGTTAGGGTATATAAAGCCAACAGAAACATCAACAGCATAGTTAGGGTATGCCATATTAGAACAGAGTTAAGTTAGGGCATGCCAAGTCATAGTATGCCAGGTTAGGGTATCATATAAGAGCAGTTACAGCCAAGATGAGGCATATCGTATAGTCGTATGCCAAGTTATAAAAACAGATAAAAGGAGGTTTTACATTCTAAGCATTTAAATATGGAAAGTTCCATCATGCTTATATCACCATATAGATTGATTTGATTGACTGACTGATTGACAGACAGGGTGATTGATTGGCTATCTGATTGACTGACTGATTTACTGTCTGATTGATTAATTGACTAAGTGACTGACTGACAAATTGACTGATTGACTGACTGATTGATTTACTGATTGACTGACTGACAGATTAAGTGACTGACTGATCGACTCACTTACTGATTGACTAGTTGATTGACTGACTGACTGACTGATTAAAACTCCTTTTCTTAGGCTTCACACGTTTCGCCAAATGCAAGCTTCCTCTATGGAAAATGCGATCTGCAATGACATTCGCCGGCTTTGATGACTTCTGTACGCCGCAAGGGTATACAATAATCGGCTCTGCAAAGACTCTTTCGAGCTGCTTTTAGCTAAACGCAATGCCGACTGCAAGTATTTGTCACAAGTTCATTTCGTATGGGCTGCAGCTTTAGCAGAATGTGTATCGACACTGCGAGAAACAAGGCAAAAATGTTTGCAATTTAAGCTAAATCATGAAATGAAATTGCAAAACAGCTGCAATAACTGTCGCATCATCATCTCATAAGAACTGCTCGGCTTAGGCCAGCACTTGATGGCTGTGGCACATGCTCGGCCCCCTTTTTTTCGCTCAGTGCACGAGGCTTTTGCAGCTGCGAACGTGGCGCTTTTTGCCTTTGAGCACATTTTTTGCTTTGTGTAATTGTTTAAATGTTATTTCATTGAATGGCGAGAGACACAGCGACAACGACAACGACAACGACAACGGATGAAGCGGGGGGAGGGGGGCCGGGTTGATGGGGGGATGAGTGGCTTGTGGGTTGGGGTAGTTGATTAAAAGGCTGAAGCTGGAATGGAAACTGGAATGAAAAAAAAAAAAAGGGAAGAGCTGGGAAACGCTTAGCGTTAATGTTCTTCATTTATTGTCATTGTTGTTAATGTTTTGTGTGTGTGTGTGTGCGTGAGAAAAAAGCATTTGCATTTAAACGGCAGAAGGATTTGGGTGGAGTGGGTAGCATAAGTGAGGGGGGGGAGCTGCCTGGTTACGTGGTTAGCGCAGAGATTTTGCTTCAATGATTTTTATTGCTCGTTTGTAGTAAATTTGGTGTGTAATTAGAGAGAGAGAGAGAGAGAGAGAGAGGTTGTGGCTTATAATAAGCAGTGTGTGTGTGTGAGGGGGGGAGGGGTTTGGAGCCAGCAGGCTGCGGGTGGCAGGCTATGCGACACAATGAAAACTCAACTGCAAATGGACGACTGGCCCGACTCGTCGAGGGCGTGGCAAGGGGCAACGACAGCGACAGTAGAGGGACGGTGGAGTGGGAGCTGGGACGGGAACAAAACCGGAAGGCTTGGGACAGCATAAAGAATGCCAAAATGCCAAATGCTAAACGGGCGCTGCCAGAGCCGAAAATGAAATTGTGGTGCAGCGCACCAGAGCCAGAGCCCGCGCCAGGACCAGTGCACAGTATTGCAAAGAGGGGTAAGTGGTGCGGTGGAGGGTGGAGGGGGGGTGGGTGCATGCAACGCGCCCTGGGGTCAAAAGCCGACCAGATGAGAATGATAAGTAGTGGACGCAGTACCCTATGATAAGCGGCAGCTGCAGTCGAATGCTTGATGCGGCAAGCGCCTGCTTATACCCTGTAAAACTCAAAACAACAGCAAGCGGTTAGCTTGGGCGCAGTCAGCCAGTCAAATTGCCAGAATTACGTCACAAACGCAATTCGCGACAGATAAAAGTTCGCGACGTAAGCTAGAGTATCCCAGAGTCGTGCATAGCCGCGCCGCACTCGAAAACACATTCTCAACTTCACAAAACGTCCGAATCATAACTTTCTTCTGTCAAATGTCAAATGTTAAATCAATCAATTTGGCACTTTTAATTCAATTTCCTTGATAGGCCTGAGTACAGGGTATCTGTTTGTTGGCTACAACGCTTGCTTTGACTTATTGCAGGGTATTCTTCACGCTATTCATGTTTTATGTGACAAGCAATTCTGTGCTGTAGCAGGCAGAAAAAATAGTTAATGAACAATTTAATAAGTTGACAATGAGTTCGAGGGTATCTCAGCGTCTGGCATGTTGCATTTCGTGTTGGACTTAAATTTGTTTTATTTGTTGCATTTCGCACAGCTAAAGAAATGTGCTCGTTACACCAAATGCAGCTGCCCGCTGTGTGTGTGCGTGTGTGTGTATGTGTGTGTGTGTGTGTGTGTGTGTGTGTGTTAGACTCCGTCTCGGCTCATGACTGAGCGGGAATTGGGGGGCGTGTCAGGTGGGTCAGAGGCTACAGTTGCTGCTGTAGCTGGAGTTGGCCTGTGGTCCTTTCGGTCGTGCTAGCTGCCAATTGCCATGTTTTGGCCAACGTCTGGTGACGCCTCTTAAAGCCGCAATGCGAATGTGACTGCGACTGCGAATGCAGTTGCTATAAAATTTAATTCGCCCCAGGGAAACGGGCGACGGGCAACGGGCAAGGGGCAAGGGGCAAATGGTGGCTGGGAGCACTACGTGACGCACACAGGACACATAGGATACATAGGCAAACATTTGGAATACTTGTCGGATTCGTAGGGCAACCAGATTCCCAAGCTAGATCACACACACACGCACGCACACACACACACACATACACTCATACAAAGAGAGAGTAAGAGAGTAAGGATTCGGTTAGATGGCGCTGGACAATGCCAGACTGGTGTCGCTCGCGAAGGCGTCACAGCTGGCCCGAGCAGTCGGCAGCGAAAGCAGCGGCAGCGAAAGCGAAGACATAGAATTTCCGTCCAAATCGAAACCAAATGATATTTGCGCCAAGGAGCAGCAGCAGGAACATGAGCGGCAGCGAGGGCAGCCGCTGGAGTACAAATATAGTCCACTTAGTGGCGACTCTGATGTGGACAGCGATGTGGGCGAATCGATGAGCGATGAGTCCATTGCGCTGCTCGCGCACGAGATGCTCTGCTGCGAGCACGAGTCGGATACGGACAGCGGGGAGGATGACCAGGGGGAGGAGGAGGAGGAGGAGGAGGAGGATAAGGTGACGGAGGAGAGGGAGGAGCTGGAGGAGAAGGAGGAGGAAGAGCTCGAGGAGGAGGAGGTGGAGGAGGAGGAGGAAGCGGAGGATGAGACGGAGGCGGAGGATGAGGAGGAGGCGGATTTTGGTGCCTCCATTGAGCACACATATGCACTGCTCATGTGCAGCGAGGACGATGAGGATCTAGAGCTGGACTCACGGCTGGAGGAACTGCAGCAGCAGCAGCAGCAGCAGCAGCTACTCGATCGCTGCGACACGGAGTCAAAGTAACTGCACGATTAGCAATTGGGTCAATAAAACAAGTGCCTAAACGTAGGCCTACAATTGGACTCCAAAGAGAATCCGGCATGAAAACCTTGTGCATTATTTCCGTGCAAGTCGCATCAAAATCTGTTGGCCCTGAAAATTGAGCAAGTCTTCCGAATCTTAAGCGAACTTTGAAGCAAGTTCTCAAAGAGATGTTCCAAAACTTCGCTTGATATTTTCTTTGTTTTATTTGTTTTTTTTTTTTTTAAATATTTTAAAATGTTTTGCATTTTATTAATAAAACAAAAAATATATTTCTGCTTTTGCGCCAATTGAAAAAAGCTCATTTCAAAAATATGTCAAAATAACAAATTATTTTGAAAATTTGATAAAAATTCAGATTTGAAGTAAATTGCTTGAATATGACCGAAAGCTGGACTCATAAATGTCCAGAGTTGCGCTTCCGCCCTTAAGGGCGTGGCCAGCCTTCGTGCCGTTCCAATGTTGTGTGTAAAACAAGTTTGAATTTTTGTAATTAAATGCGCCAGGAGAATTGAAACAAAAATAAGCCAGCTTTCTATCTGTTTGATTCGCATTTCCAATAAAAATAAAATAATAAATCTTTAAAAAATTGTATTTGTTTTTTTTTTTTTCAGCTACAAATTAAAGCTCGGGGCAGAAAGCATGGCCAGAATTTGATTTCAGTTAATTGGAACCGAGTCAAAAGCGCATTTACCATGAAACTCAAAAGTCTAGAAGTCAGGAATGTTGATATTTTCGTCCCAAATGTATATCATATTCGCAGCTGATTAAATGCCACGTTTGTTTATTTCGTTATTGGAAATTGACTCAAAAGCAACTTAATTACGGAAAATGCATGCTGCAAATTTTTGGTCAAATCGTGACGAAATTGTAAACAAACACAAATATCGGCCCAGTTGTCGGAATTTAAATGTTGGGCACATATTTCGTGTTGGATATGTTGACCAAAAATTTCACTGAATAATCAACAGCATTCATTGAATATCAATTTAAGGAAAGTAAATTGCACGAAAAAAAAAAGGAATGCAACAAATTCTGCAGCTGAAGATCAAATGTATTGTTCCAAATTGTATAACGGTGCGTATACGTAATATTTTGCTTTCCAAGTATTTCGTTGCGTGTTTTTAAATGAAGCTATTTGAAATGTAGAAGTTATGTTCGATTCACTAGAAATTCAACAGAAAAAAATCACAGTTTTGTCTAAGAGAACTTTTGAAGAGTTCAATGGAAGAGTTCGAGGGAAGATTTTTTAATGAAGTGTACAGCATAATCAGAATCGGTTCAATATTAATATCAGCAGACGAATTAAATGCAGAAAACATAACTGAAATTATTTTTCTCGAAAACTATTCGTATCTGTCATAGATATCAAGATATTTGAATATAGAAAATATTTGCAGCTTTAAAGTTCGTAAATATTGTTGAAAAGCAGAAAAAACGAACTTAGAGAAGAGAAATTTAATGCAAAAAGTTCGATGGAAGCGTTTTAATAAAATGTACAAAAAATCAGAGTTGGTTTTTTGTGCCGCATTTTGCTTTTTAATTTTGAATTGAATGCAGTATTTATTGCATTTCTAAAGAATTTTTACCCTCAACGGATACGTAATATTTTTTTACAGACATTTTCCCTGAATTTATTTTGTTCAAAAATAATATGATAAAAGTTTAAACTACGACATCAGCGCCTTTTCGCCCAGTTATGGGAAACTCTCACCTATGTAATGGGAGCTCGAATTTTGAGAAAAGTTCCAACGATATATTTGACAGTCAAAATTATTGTGAAATATCCCGAAAATAAAGATAAGAATACGTTTTTGGTACAGCAAAAATACTAATATGAATAACTGCAGGCTAGTAAAATTCGGGGAATTCAAAAAGTATTCGCAAAAAGTAGTTTTCTTGCCATGTCAATCAAGGGCCAAACATTTTTTTACAATGAAGCTAAAGAAACTTTTACTTTTTGAAAATCCAATATCTTGTGAAATTTCAATTTCCTTTGACAAAATTGTGGGAACTTGAATTCTTAGCAGATATTTTGGTTTTCGAGAACTTTACAATTTGAAATTAATGCCAAATGTTAATTGGAATCGCGTGTGGAAAAGCATTATATGCAAATTTTAATAATGGGAGCCATTTCCGAGTAACCAAAAAGGTTTTTCAGCATTCGCAGGAAGTTTTCTTCCTCAAAGTTGAATAATGTGGCGTATACGTTATATTCGACAGAAACGAAAATCGCTTTAAATGCAAACTTTGGCAACAGAAATCGAACAGAATGCAAGAATTTAGGATGAAAAAGTTGTGAAAACTAATTCAAAAATGCATTCATATTTTCAATTATTAAAAGCAAAAGATGAAATCAAGAGTTTTCACATAAAAGCAAATTTCGCTTGAGCAAAGCCTTTCAAACTTAATGTCATAACTGAAATTGAATGGAATGTTAGAATTCGAAAATCCAAAAGAAAGGCTTTTCGCCAAGACATAGAAGATTTGTGAATTAATTTAACTCTAATCTATTGCTACTTGCTGTCAGCGAATGTGTTTCTCCATATTTAGTCACGGGGCGTATACATCATTTTTGTTTACGAAAAAATGGCAAGACATTTTATTAAATTTCTTTCTCAGAATATATTAGCTTGTTAGTTTTTCTTCTGCCCGCATCGAACGTATACGTAATATTTATATGCTTATAAAGAATGAGAAAAAAAGGAAATTCAATTTCAAAAATTGCGACAATTTGACAGAATCTATTATATTATCCGTGAATGAATCTATTATCTGCGTTTTTTTGCATTTGATTTTTTAAGCCCGCAAGTTTCTATATTATGTTCACAATATTTAAGCATTTCCTACAAAATGCTAAGAAATTCAACTTGAAAAATTCATTTGCATCGTTTTGAAAGAATTTTTTTTCTATTTTCGTTAGGTCCAGCGAATATTTTGTTGCTGACTTTCAGAAGGGAACGATATTTTATTATAGAAAGAAAATAAATTAGACCGAATTCTTTTCCATATTAAAACACAGGTCAAGTACTTTGTATTCATTTTCTTATAAATTGTGACAGGATTTTTTTTTATCTATTATACTTTAGTCCAGCGTAATTTTTTCGCTATGAGATTACGAGGCGGATGAGTTATATTTTGCTTAGAAATTTAAGAGAAATGCTTCCCATATCTAAAAACAGGGCGTATACTTTATATTTTTTTTCTTAGAAGAAAATGACAAGAAATTTAATTAAAAAAACAAGAAGAGCAATATTCTATAAATGCAGCTAATACAGAGAAACCGAAAAGGTTTCTTCAATATACAAGGACTGTTTTTTCCCCCCTCAAAACTGAACAATGGGGCGGATACGTTATATTCTTCAGGAGCCAAAATAGCTTTTAATGCGAACTTTGGTAGCATAAATCAAAGAAAATGCAAGGATTCTGAAGTTGTAAAGATTGTTTTGTTTACCCGGACGAATTACAGGGCGTATACGCTATGTTTTTTCGAAAACGAAACGAAAAAGAAAAAGTACCCAAAACTTATTCGAAAAAGTCATTTTTTTTTTTTGGCAAGATGAATGTGACAGAAGCTCAAATAATTGAAAATATTCAAAAAGAATGCATTCTATATTCATTTCCCAATTCGAAAAGTTACCACTAATTCACGCGGCGGATACGTAATATTTTTGGCAACTAAACTGGATGCCAGCAAATGTTTCTTGCCAAACATCAAATCCCGTGGCGTATACGTTATAATTTGCTAGAAATATCGAAAATAAAAAGAAAAGAAATGCCAAAAGAATTTGATTTAAGACTTGTTAGAAATTATTAAAGACTATGCATAAATGTTGGCTGCCAAAAGCGAGTTGCATTCAAATCCTGATCAAAATGTCAACAGACATGAAAATCGTTTTGAGCTCCGACCAGAGGACAGACTGAATAAGTAGCAACCGGTTAGAAACTGTGTTCACTCGGGGGGCTCGTTTAAATCTCAGTTAAATTTCGATTGGCCAAGCACAAACAAACACACGAATACACACACACACACACACACACACAGACACATCAAGCGAGAAGGGGAAACTTGAAGTGGACTCGTTTTATGGTCTAGAAGCCAGACAGATAGACGGAGCCAACTTTGTGGCCTACTCATTGGTGCTCAAAGCCGAGCTGAAGTTGAGCTGAAGTTCAGTTGAGTTGAGTTGAGTTGAGTTCAGCTCGAGTGTGGCAACTCGATGCGGCACTTAAACTTGGCGGCAACTGCGACTCTGCAACCACTTAAACCGTAGCGAGCCACACACTTTCCGTTGCCGGCTTGTCAGCTTGTCAGCCGGAATTGCACTCACCTGTGCGCCGCATTGGACGCTCGCGGCTGCTTGCAACTGGTTGCAACTTGGGGCTGGGGATTTGACGGCGAGCGGCCTTGGGGGGAGGGCGGCTGCTTGGCGGTGTGTAGCACGCACACACACACGCACACACGCACTGTCTAACAAAACTGCAGCACTTTCTTACACTTTCATCATTTTATTTGCCTCTATTTCAATGCGTTTTTCTTTTGATATTCTGCTAATTACACGTAATTACTGCGAAGAGGCAGACAACGAAAAAAAAATGCTTGTTAATATATTTATTGCACGTTTTGTTGTTGTTGTTGTTGTTGCTTCTGCTGCTGCTTTGGCAGTCACACCGCAGAAAAACTAGCCAAATGCTGCAACCGACGGCAGCAGCAACTGTTGCCGCCGACGCAGCAGCAGCAGCAGCAGCAGCCGCCGGCTGACAAATTGGCCAATCAGCTGGCAAAAATCACTCGATGCACTAACACACAAGGCCACGTGGCACAAGAGCAACAGCCAAAAAAAAAAAAAAAAAAAAAAAAACTATAGTTATGCACAGCAGCAACATGCAGCAGCAGCAACATCATGCACAACAGCAACTGTTTGTGGCCAACAAATGGGCAGCTCACAATTAGCCAAAGCCTGGCCAGAACTTGCCTTCAATTGCAGTTGACCAAAAATTAATGTTGCTGCTGTTGCTGCATGTTGCTGTTGCTGTTGCTGCTGTTGCTGTTGCTGGTGTTGCTGGTGTTGGCTGATACGCACGTGTTTCTGTTTTAGTTTGGCATCCGCATCCGGTACCCGGTACTGATGTCAACAAGCTACCACACGCAACTAATTCAAAAAATCCAAGCGAACGGATTACGCTACGATGTTGCTGTTGTCCCACACACACACACACACACACACACGCACAGCAGCCGAACGTCGGCTGGCTCGGCTGCCGTCTCGTCGTCGTCGCTCGTGTGGCACGAACGCAGACGAGCCGGACTCGTGCCACACAGAATGTGGCTTCGGGCTCAGTCGTTGCTCGCAGGCGACGGCGACAGCACGTGGCAGCGGCTAACAGACTGTCCTGTGTGTGTGTGTGTGTGTGTGTGTGCTGTTGTTGTGTGTTGTTGTGTGTATTAATGTGTTGTGCGTATTATTTAAAAAGCAGCTTAACCTGCTTTTGTGACCTTTTCCCTTGGCCGACTCACAGATTTGTCCACTTCGCATATCGATGTTGCAGCCAATCCGCCAGCCAACGTCTCTGTGTAGGTGTGTGTGTGTGTGTGTGTGTGTGTGTGTGTGTGTGTGTATGTGTGTGTGTGTCTACTGATAAATGAGTTTTTATTTTGATTTTATTCACTGTTTGCCTTTGCAGCATATTCAACAGCAACTTTTATTTAGCTGCATTTTTAAATATTGCACACACGCACACACTCACACACACACACACACACACACGCCTGTTATTCAATTTATAAAAAAAAGCAATCAGTGCAACAAGATTTCTAAACAATGTTACCCGAACAGCTTTGAGCTTGAGCGCATTTTACACCTGCCCCAAGCAATGCGCCTTCAGCAAATTCAACTGTTAAAGCTCGACAGCTTTTAATTACTGTTCCTCCCCCGTCCCCCCTTCGGACCCCCTGTACGTCCGTCTGTCCCAGCAGTAACTGGCACTTACGTCTAAATCAATCTTAACTTATCTAACGTTTCTCGCGTTAATCCAGGCGAACTGACAACCTTATTGAAACAGATCAAAAGCAAATTCTTGCAGGCCCTTCGCAATTGTCCAGCTTTGAATACCCTTTCTTTTTACATAACATAATTATTTACCCTGCCAAGCCAGAGTTTGATAACAATTAAAGAAGCGCTCACCGTGGCTCAGCTTGGCTTGAATATAAAGAGAAGTATATATTCGAGCTTTGATTTCGCGCAAAGTGTGAAATTTCTCTCGAATGAATTTGAATAATGATCTTTGGCAACGAGCGAGGTAAACAAAAAAAGTACTATACAAACTTTTTTTGTGAATTTCCCACAGTTTCGGATGGAATTTTTTAGAGCGCGGAATCACGTACTCATTCGGTTCTTGTTAAGGGCTTGGAAAGTAAGTTTGGAGCAAACCGATTCCTGTTTTCCACAACGGAAGCTTGGATTGTGCGAAATATTTGAAATAAATCTCAAATAAATGCAATCAGTCAATCAGTCAGTTAGACAGTCAATCAATAAGTCAATCAGTCGCTAAGTCAATCAGTCAGTCAGTTAGTTAATCACTCAGTGAATCAATCAGTCAGTCAGTCAGTCACTCAGTCAGTAACTCACTCAGTCACTCAGTCTATAAGTCTGTCTGTGAATCTGTCAATCAGTCAGTCAGTCACTAAGTCTGTCAGTCAGTCAGCGAATCAGTCGATCAATCAATCAGTCAATCAGTTAGTTAATTGCCCAGTCTGTCAATCATTCAGTCAGTCCGTCAATAAGTCATTTAGTCAGTCAAGCACTTAGGAAGCCAATCAGTCAGTCTGTGAATCAGTCAGTCAGTCACTCACTCAATAAGTCTGTCTGTGAATCAGTCAATCAGTCAGTCAGTCAATCTCTGATGAATATTAGCCTTGAATAGGGCCAAGCGGGGAAATGAAATGCACTCGTTGAGTAGATAAATTGAAATTGTTGTACACGGATAAGCTCTTCATGTTGCTTTAAACATTTAATTTTTTCGATTCTTATGTATTTAATACTTGGGGTTGACGCTTGTCTTGTCAACCATTAATAAATAAATAAATCGGTAAGTAAATAAGTACACAGACATCATTCAGCTCTTTGTGCTGGTAAAGAAAATCCATATTTTATTGAGTGGCAAATATCTTCCAATGCACAACTACAAAATACCCTTTTGAAAGGAATATAATTAATGGGTATGCCAGACGGATTGCATGCAGTGATGCCTGCTTAGGGCTAGCTAAAACTTTTACTGCGGCTTCCGTTTGACTTGCAAGTAAGACGGAAAACTTGATAGAGAAAGGGGCTCAAAGATTGTACAACATTTAAAATATAGTCGAACTGACAAGCGCGAGGTCGCCAGTTCAACTTCAGCATTCAAATAGTTATTGTGCTCAAGGACTTGAGCATTAATAATAAATTTAAATAAAAAAAACGGATATGCATATGGAATAATGGAAGAACAATGAATGGAATAATAACTATATTGATTTTCTGAGTATGCGACATGCTCTTCCAATCTTCCATTTCCATTTCCATTCTTTTATTTAAATTTATTATTAATGCTTAAGTACATGCTCGTTTGTTTAAGCTATAATAATAGTGTATTTCATATAAAATGTGTCCTGAAATATGGCCTTTAAAAAGGGAACCCCAAATCGATTAAAAAAATGAGACAACTGGACCCATGAGTATTAATTCCATTGCCTATCGAGCTGTGTCGTAAGAGAAACTAAGAATTGTCTCACATTGCTAGATTGGATTGGAGATGGGCTTGAAGAGCATCACGAACAAACTCTAGAGAGCCGAGCTTAAGATGAAGGAATAAATAACAAACAGAAACACATTTGGAAAGTTGTGCGAATCGAATGCTTCACAGATTACGAACCGAGCTGATGATGATTAGACGAGCTGTTTATGGGCTCCGATTTGCCGAGAGCTGTTTAGCTCTCGAGTGCAATCGCACGGCATTCGTCTAGTTCCTGGTTACATAACTAATCCAATTTACCGGCAATTGGTAGAGCTAGGCCAGGTTTTCATTTTGGTTTACATTTGTGCCCCCAGTTGCAGTTGCCGGCAGCTGCTGGAAGAAGGGATCAGACGTCGTTTTGGCTTTACTGACACATTCATGAAGGGCGAAAGAGGCGAGCGCCTGGTCACTGGCATTTTGGCCCCATAATTCGCTCAACATCCGATATGACCGCAAAACGGCAAATTGGTCAAGTCGGTTGCCTTTGCCACACGTGTAGCCAAAGGAAACCAAAAGCCTCAATCGGCTTGCCAGACCCAGACCCAGACCCAGACCCAGACCCAAACCTTAACTGGAAGAGCCAGTTCAAGTCCAACTTGTAGTCATACTCCACACGACTCCAGCTGCCGATGCAGTCGATATGTGTCGATATGTGCTGATGCAAATGGCAGGAAATGCGTGATAACGACCAGCGACACACATAGAGACACAGAGAGAGAGGGAGAGAGACGGACACACACACGTTAAGCTGGCACTAGATGCCCATAGACCAGAGGCGATGCTGCTCCTTCCACGCCTGCTGATGACTCTGGCTCTGGCTCTGTCTCTGATGTTGTGAAAGTGTCGACACCAGTTTGGGCCAGGCCAAAACACATGGCACATGGCACATGGCAGCTATGGCAGACCAGCAGCTGCCCCCAGCCGCATGCCACATGCCGCATGCCGCATGCCGCATGCTCGATTCAGGATTCGTTCCCGTTCGGCGTCGCGTTTCAATGTGAATGTGAATGTGACTGTGAATGTGAAGGAGCAAGCATAAAGAACCGCAAAATCATGAAATTGAAATGCAATAATGAAGGCTTCATGGTCGATCGCTCAAATATACACACACCCAGACACACACACACACACCCAGACACAGACACAGACACACACACGCACACAGAAAGGCAGACAGTTAGAAGCAACAGAATAAACGCCCGGACAGCCGAATGTGCAATCGACACGTCACCCTGGCGCAAATAGATAAATTTGCGCACAAAATTTAGCTGCTAGCAATTGAAAGTGCCTGCAAGTAGGCATAAGTACTGTGAGCACTCTCCCAAACATATATATTACACGATGGTCGCTTAAGAGAGTCTTTGCTTTATGTTTATTCCATGCCATGTCATAAGCTCATTAGCTCGCTTTAACAGCTTATTAAATATGTTTACATTTCTGTTATTTGACATTAACAGTTACAGTACGACTTACATAATTTTAAAGAGTTTTTTTCAGACACATAACAACTACACTAACAGTCGCTGTCTGCCAACAGAGTGCTCACTGTACATATAACTCTGAGCAGCAGCATCAGCCGAGTCGGTCGAGCCATATCCTACTGTATTTATGAACTCCAAAGCTCGCTTTAACAGCTGCTTAAATACATTCACATTTCTGTTATTTAACAGCTCTATAGCTGCTTAAATATGTTAATTAATTCTGTTATTTAACATTAACAGTAACATTGCAATTTACATAATTTCAAATAGTTCCTAACAGAACTTTAATCATTTTCAAAAGTCTCACAAAACGCTTGCATTTCGCCCACTGTGAAGGGGCTGCGGTGCGAGTGTATGTGCGTGTGTGTGTGCGTGTGTGACGACACCACAAAGTTGCCATATTTAAAGCATAAAAGCAACATTTCCGTTTGTCGCATGCCAACGCAGCCGACAGAAGGTGCCGACTCCGGGGCAAGTGCAAAGGGGGGGAAACTGGCCAAAAACTAGGGAAACTAAGCAGAGGCCGAGGCCTACACCAGCAACTGTCTGTCTGTGTATGTGTGCGTGTGCGTGTGTGTGTGTGCGTGCGCGTTGCAGTCATGTACAACATGCAACAAACGTGAGAAACTAAAATGAGTGCAATTTGTATGCCACGTTAAAGGGTAGATGGCAGCAGGAGCAGCGGGAGAAGCTGACATAGAGGCTGAGACGGAAAGAAAGCCCCTGTCTGCAGGATGAGAGCCCCCCCTCAGCCCGTAGCATAAGGCTGTAGATAAAATGGTGGGAGAGAGGAAGGGAGCAGGCGGAAAATGGGGGCGTGGCAATGCGCATCTTTCATTCTTTTTGACCAGCAAATTCATTTTTGCATCAATTGTCGCATAAATTATACAGATTAACACACAAGCAGGACACACACACACACACACACCAACACACACACACACACACACGCGCGTGCATACACACACACACACACACACACACATACACATGCAACACACATTATTAAATTAAATTTGAAGCAATGCAAAAAGAAAAAAAAAATATGTGAAAAAGTAAATGAAAAAGTAAATGCAAAAAGCAAAGGAAAACGCGTGCCTTGACTAGGGTTAGGCAGGGGCAAGTGGGCGGGGCTAGGGGGTGCCGGGTGGGACAATGGAAGGGGAGGGGGGGTTGTGGTGAATCAACTGCAGCCCGTTCGTGTGTTTCGGTAATTGTTTAAAGTAACTGCTACAAATTGAAACGGCGGCAAGGACACGCAGACAGTAGCCAGAATTTCAAATGGAGCTTGCAGAAAGAGAGAGAGAGGGAGAGAGAGAGGTGGGGCAAGAGAGCAAGAAGAGTGCAAACATTTTGATGCACTCATATACTCTATATACCCTTACATTTGGTCGGGTATACCAGCTATGCTCAAAAGTCAAAAAGAAGTCAACTGCAAAACCTGATTAAAAAACCATTCGACTGCAATTCTCATATCCTGCACTTAAGAAGAATCTAACAACGGGTACACTTAACTTCGACTAGCTGAGAAATATCCAACAGGAAAAGTACTTTCTTATGTGGAAAGTGCAAACAGGCCAGGCTCAAGCATATTTTTAAAGATAATGAGAGCTACAGGGTAGCTGCCAGTCCGGACGCGCAGTCTTCTCCAGAGCAGTCATACTTTCTGTTTAATATTAGCTGAAAGCGCGATCGCTTACCTCACAATGAACTGATTCCACGTCAAGTCCTGAAACATGCACAATAATTCGAGCAGATTTTACATTTGAGGGGTATCTGCACAGTGAAGCGCGCTCACATTCGCACCGATCTGCAGGGTATTTTAGTTGTCTTATTTGTTTTTTGGGATGCCGCACAGTCGAAAATTAATTGAAGCTGCCAGAGCTGGCAATAATTTTGGGGCATTGTTGTCCGGGCCGGGCCAGAGGGCAGAGTGTTCGGGCTCGTGTTCGGGCTCGGGTTGCAAGCTGCAATTGTATTGGCAGCTGCTGTTGTCTTAAAATTAAAGACGCAGCAGAGACAGCAGTGAGCGTGCAATAATCCCTAGGGAAACGAAGCTGAAGCTACCCGGTTTTTGCCTGATTAAGGGCTGATTATGGCGGTGCGGGCGGGGTGGGGAAGCTGCGTGTGCAACGTGTGCGGATCGTGCTCAAGTATTTTATTTCTCCACCTATATTTATTTTTTTTTTTTGTAGGTGCTCGCTGACATACACAAAACCGAAATCTAATTTTGTTTGTCAAGAGACAGCAGCTGCTGGCTGCAGGTGGCAGCTGCCTGGCTGCCAGGCTTCTTTGTGACGCTTCAGATGCCAGGCGCCCGAGCAGGGACAAATACACGTATGCGACTGCGGTGAGCCTGGCTGTCTGCTTGCGATGATATTTAAAGCTGTAGCCACAGTTCTCGGTTGCCATAATTAATGTGAGCCCGCCCCGCCCACGTCTGGCCCAAAAAGCGGAAACCGAAGAGAATTGAAGCAGCAGCTAAAAATGCCAGCTGTAATGCATGGCAGCTGCTCGGCAGCTCGTTTAGCCTCGGCCCAGTTCAATTGGCAAGCAAAATCGCCAGCTCCAGACAGCTGCAGTTGCTCAGCTCCGGCTCCGGCTACGGTTCCAGCTATGGCTCCAGCTATGGCTCCAGCTACGGCTCCTTAGCTGCTGTAGATTACGCTGTCGCCTGCCTGCGACTATGAAAATGTCTGACAGCCGCAGCAGCAGGCGGCAGCCCAAATACTAAAACTGCCAGCAAAATGTGAGTTTGAAGTACGTGTGCTAAGGGGTTAACAGGGATTCAACGGGCAACGGGCAGCGGGCAACGGGCAACGGGTTACGGGCTCGGAGTGTTGCAAAAATATACTAAATATAAATGCACATAAAAATTCAATTTCTCTAAAGTGTAGCTAAGCATGTAATTGAATTTGTAATGGCGAATATCGTTGAAATCGTCTACAACTCAGACATGCCCCCGCACTCACACACACACACCCTACCCCTACCCCTTAGCCAGGTAGCCTCACTTAAAACCCATTCCTATTTCCATTTCCATTCTGTCGCGAGTTAACGTCTCCATTGAGTGACTGACATACGGGCAGACTGTCGCATGCATAGATCCATGATTCCACCATAAAAAAACCTGTATCCGTGTGTAAGTGTGTGTGTGTGTACACGGTGAGTGTGTGTGGTGTGGTGTGGTGTGGTGTGTGTGTGTGTGTGCCTGCCAGTTGACTCCAATTTCAATTCCACTTCCGACTTCCGACACTCCACATATTATGCCCAAAATGGCATTTTTGTTATACTGCCACATCGTTTGATATCTTGGCATCTAGCAAAAACAGGCAAAGCCCGAACATTGCCAGCGGCTCGTTGGCTTCAATTGTGTGCTTTTTAACAGCCTCGTACTTAGTCAATTTGAACTCTTTGCTAACAGGCTGAGTCGCATTTACATATAAATATGTCTATTTAATATTAAATATCATTTGAATTGACAACCGTCAACCGCAAAGAGAAGCAATTTGCACTCAATTAGAATGCAGAGCTAGCACAGACAAGCACTTAGCTTGGCTTAAACTCTTTAACATATTGCATTT